AACAAACCCACAAATCCACAAAATATTACTTTGAAGGTAGAACAGGAAAAAGTGCCAGGATATCACTAGGGTGATATGGAGGGTGACATCATCTGTTTCTACCCTCTAAAAATGGTTGCTGGTCCATATTGCAGATTAGCCAAATGGCTTTGTGGATAAACTGTCTGATTTAAAAATTTTCAAGTTGTCGCCTTCCTGAATTTTCTCTACAGATAGTCCTCGACTTACAACAGTTCATTTAGTGACCATTTGAAATTATAACAGTGCTGGAAAAAAGTGACTTATGACTGATTTAAACACTTATGATCATAGCAGCATGCCCACAGTCATGCACTAAAAATTTAGACATTTGGCACTGGCTCATATTTATCATGTTTGCAGTGTGCCGGGGTCATATGATCCCCTTTTGTGACCCTCTGAGAAGCAAAGTCATTGGAAAAGCCAGATTCACTTAACAATTGTGGCAAAGAAGGTCGTAAAATGAGGCAAACTCACTTAACAACTATCTCACCTAGCAACAGACATTTTGGGCTCAATTGTGGTCATAAGTCAAGGACTGTTAATTGAAATGTTAAACACAGAGAACAAAGATTGCTCACTCAAAATGTGAAAAACAGGCTAGCATTATCATATCATCTCCCAGGATTATACTGTATTTTCGGAAATGAATTTCCTTCCAGAAAAAAAAATACTAGAATTAAATATTTTGGAACCCAATCTATTTTTACAGTATTACTTAAGATATGGTTATTTTGAATAAACTGTTTTACATATTAGATGTGTTCTGCCTTTTATTTAACATTATTATTTGGAAAATCTTGCTTCAAGAATTGATCACAAATTGAAATCTGCCTTAACTGACCATAAGTTGGATGTGGGGAGCTTTAGGGAGAAATAGTATAAAACTGCAGATATATCTCAAAGTTTAATTACCCCTCTCACATTTTCTGCCATTTCTTTGCATTTTTGAATTATTAAAATGTCTTCCAGAGTCACCCTGAACTTATTGGCACAATGGAAGATCATCCATCATCCAATGGATAGGTAGTCCTCTGTCCGGCCTGAATCCCTTCCGGAGGAGGAGGAGGAGGAAAAGATCTGACTGAAAGGGATGATGAAAAGAAATGGAGCAAAGGTTCTCTCCAAAATAGACTTTACCTTTATATTAAGGGCAATCTTTATATTAAGGGCAATCACCTAACTACTTTAGTTATTTAAGAACTGCTGACCTGAAGATTTGCCTATATTTTATATGCTTTTATATTTTCGATCTGATTCCAGGAAGGAAATAAAAAGCATTCGTTGGAGTGATGCATTTTATTAGAAATAATGCTTTCTCTCTGCTGCCTGTTACTTCCTTGCCATCTTCTCTCTTAAGTGGTCTGTTTCCTTGAGTTTTTTCTTGTTATTTGTATGCTGAAAGAAACTTTTTTTATTATATTTATTATCTTTGACTTTTTGTCTTTGTTCATTCTGAGCTTTTGGAAGGAGGTTTTAGGCAGTGATCAGTTCTTCACTGCAGGAGGGGAAATTCCCAGGCCTTTTAAGAAGGCACCTGTTTGTCTTCTCCTTAGAAAAAAAAATGTCCCTTGACTTGCCTGCCTGGACATTTTTTGTCCAATTTCCCATCCTTTTTAGGGAAGGTGGTAGAAAAGCTTGGCAGCTTCAGAGGTACTGGATGAAACACATTATGTGGATCATTTCCAGTCAGGATTCAGATCCAGTTATGGGATAGGAACAGTATTGGTCACACTTGATGATCTCTGGTGAGAGTGGGATGGGGGTAGTGCAACCATCCTTTCTCTCCTTGACATCTCAGAAGCTGTTGATACACTCACCATGGTATCCTTTTGGGGTGGCTATTGGATTTGGACATGGGCAGCACAGGTTTGCATTAGTCTGACTTCTTTCTCCAAGGCTAGGCAGAATCAAAGTTGATTGATCCAGCCCTGAGCCACTCTTTTGTGGCATGCCACAGGGCTCAGTAGTTTCTCCAGTCCTTTTTAACATCCACATGAAGCCTCTGGGTGAGATCATCCATCACCTTGGGTTTTGGTATCATCAGTAGGCTGATGATACTGTGCTTTACATCTCCACCTCTGCTGATCCAAGTAATATTGTTGCTGTGCTTCAAGAATTGATCACAAATTGAAATCTGCCTTAACTGACCATAAGTTGAATGTGGGGAGGCTAGAGGCTATGAGAGCTTAGACAAGAGCCTTTGGCTGAACCCTTGCAAGATCAAATGGCTTTGGGTACATGAGCTTCAAGTTCCAGAATTTTAACATCTTTGGCCTGGATGGAGTGGCACTACCCCAGACATCTTTAACACCACTTGAACACCATTGGCATTGACAAATTCACCATTAGTCAGTTGCAAAAGGCAGCCTTACTAGGAACTGCTTCCATCCCGCGACAATATCTATAATACCATCAAACATCCAAATATGCCTATCCCAGGTCCTTGGTAAGGACTCAGTAGGTAGACAAAATGCCAAATCCAGTCTGAACATCTGGCTGACTGTGCGATGATGATGATGATGATGATGATGATCATCATCATCATCAATAATAATAATAATAATAATAATAATAATAATAATAATAATAATAATAATAATAATAATAATAATAAAGTTGGAAGGGACCTTGGAGGTCATCGAGTCCAACCCCCTGCTCAGACAGTAAACCCTATACCATTTCAGACCAAATGGCTGTCCAGTCTCTTTTTAAAAACTTCCAGTGTTGGAGCATTCTCTGCTTCTGGAGGCAGATTGTTCCACTGGTTAATTGTTCTAACTGTCAGGAAGTTTCTCCTTAGTTCTAGGTTGCTTCTCTCCTTGCTTAGGTTCCACCCGTTGCTTCTTGTCCTGCCTTCAGGCACCTTGGAGAATAGCTTGACTCCCTCTTCTTTGTGGCAGCCCCTGAGATATTGGAACACTGCTATCATGTCCCCCCTCATCCTTCTCTTCATTAAACTAGACATACCCAATTCCAGCAACCGTTCCTTATGTTTTAGCCTCCAGTCCCCTAATCATTTTTGTTGCTCTTCTCTGTACTTTTTCTAGAGTCTCAACATCTTTTTTACATGATTCATAACTATATACTGAAAAACTATTTTTGCACATAGGTTTTTTTTTAGGTCAAAAATATCCCATTCCTGCATTTAGCTGCAATCTACCTTTTTAAGAAAACTACATTGGAAAAATATATTGCAATATTTATCTTTAAATGTTTAAGTAGTCCTACTACATGGGATACTTGTATTAGTCTGCTGAAGAACAACAATGCAAAGTCTTGTGGCAGGTTAAATATTAATGAATTTAAAATACTATGTGTTATGTCCTGGGCTGTGATTGACACAGCAGGTGCAGGAAGCTGCAGAGAGACCCAGGCAGACCACGTGGCTCCCCTAGCCAGACAGGCTGTCTCCAGCCTATTGCGCATGCGCAAGGTGGGAATGATACGTTGCATTGATTGGTTGATGCTGCTCCCTGTAAGGGGGTATAAAAGGGATCTGCACCATTTTGTGTTGTTCTGTTGAAGATTAAATAAAGAAGCGACTGTTGTTACTCCTGCCTCATCTCAATGCCTTACCAACGCACAGAACAGAATACTATGAATCTTTGTGAATTTGATGCAAGGAACAGCAAGTAGCAGAAGCAGGTGCTGTACATGTCCATGTCTTGTAAGATTCCTAAATTAATTAGAATACTAGGTTCCAGCAGGCTCTTTGCGCAAAGGCTTCTGCATCTACATAGAAATTATCATTTGTAGCAGAAACATCTGCTACAAGACAGCACATTAGGTAACCAAACTAATATCAGCCGAGAACAATTATGTGCCATGTTAGACCTCTGTCTGACCACTACCTATTATAAATACTATGAAGGTGTCTACAAACAAAAACACAGCGTCACCATGGGTTCACCTATGTCCCCCATTATGGCAAATCTCTACACAGAAGAGGCAGAAACCAAAGCCATAAACGTATTCCCAGAATTTTCACCAACTCACTGGTACAGGTATGTGGATGATACTTGGGTCAATATTAAAACTCAGGAAGTGGAGTCCTTCACCAAACACATCAACTCTGTGGATTGATACATTAAGTTCATAAGGGAAGATGTTAACTGTATAGCTTTCCCAGACGGTGCTGTGCACCTTATGGAAGGCAGAAGCCTTAACATTGAAGTTTACAGAAAACCAACGTACACTGATCAGTATTTGCATTTTAATTCTCACCACCCACTGGAACACAAGATAGTAGTGATCAGAACCCTATTCCACTGAGATGAAAGTTTGCCTACCAGTAAAGAGGGAAAAGAAAATCTTTCCATCCCCATCCCCACACCATCATTCCCCCTCTCACCAACTAATCTCAACTGTCAATAACTGTCCTTCCATCTCCCACACCATCCAATGTAACTGATGAATCTTCCAGGATAGGAAGGAAAATCTCTTCTTTCTCAAAAAAAAATCAGTCCAGTTGCCTTTTCAAAAAACAAAATAAAACATTTTTGATACAACTAAGAGCTGTATGACTGAAAATCTTCATAGACATTCAAATGAGGGAGAGATTGTCATGGAGAAAATCTATGTGGTCACTAAAAATCTATAATGGCTTAATGGCACATAGTCAATTACTCAATCTTTGCTTCTAACTTCTTTCTACCAAAATAATAAAGAAAATAACACAAATGTAACTCAATTCACTTGACCTCTTAGTAAGCAAATATGTCAGATTTCACAACCAAAATTTAAACCAAAGTATATCAATTTGTTTTAATACTTTATAGTTGACAGCAGTTTATAGTTACAGTAAACATAATAAGATTACTAATCAATCATCAACATTACACTCCAGTATCAATTAAAGAATAGCAACAAGAAGGAAGATCAACAAAGAAGATTGCAAAATACAAATCTCAAATAGAAGGGAAAAATGTCAGACATCAAGATATTTCATGCACAAATAATGCCTAAGCGTATTGCGAAACTGAAAAGAGAATTTCCCCACCCCACTAATAAAATTTATTAATTCATGTTTAGCAGATCTGTTACATGTATATCTGCCTCTTGAGCCAAAATATAAACTATGTTTAATATTTCTCTTCTGACTCCTCACACCAAGACCTGTTCTATTAAAAAAGCACCATTAAAATATAAACCTTATATTCCTAAATGATATTATTTTCCTCCTCAAAAGGCATATTTCAGGATCTTTAGCGTTGCATGATCTAATGCACACGAATATCACAGGTAGTCCCCTTATACCAATGCAATTGGGACTGGCAATTCAGTCATTAACTGAAATGGTTGTTAAATGAAAAGTCATGTGACCACTACTGTGCTTATGATTTTAATTCATTTTTCCTTTCCTTTATAGCATCAGAAGGATATGACCCCAAATTACTAGGTGAACCCAAATGGGAGGAAAGCTTCCAGAACTTACAGGGAAGTTGGTTAAAGAGAAAATCTTATAGCCCTTTTTTCGTACTCCTGTGCCTTTACCCCCCTAGTGCTTACCTCTGCACTAGAATAATTTACAAGAAGAGAATTAATGAATTTATTTACATTTATTGTAGAGGAAAAGAGTAAACAAGAGGGCACACATACATCAAGCTACACATTAGCACTTTTTAGGGATCTGCTGAGCTGAGGATAAAACAGCTTGGGAAAAGGTTTCTTGTTTAGGCAATATCTTCATTCTGCAAGGGAGAGAAAAAGAAGAAAAACCAAGTGAGACACAAGACTATGTGTACTAACTGATTGAATTGGAGTATGTGTGTGAGAGAGACAGAGATACTGTGAATGTCCTAAATGTCCTAAATTAGCATTAATGAATGTCCTAAATTAGCAAAAATACATGAAAAGCCCTAAATGTTTTTGGACAAAGTAAGATTTAATATAATTATGTAAAATAGATGAGTTCCAATTTAGTGCTTTGGCACCAAAGGAAAAGAAAGGGAAATCCTTCAAGGAAAAGGAAGGAAAATCCCACTTGAATTGAATTTTCCTTTTCAATCCAGCTTCATTACTTTCTCAGAAGTGTCTCATTCAGCAACAGTGCTGGAGACCATCTTTCCTTTGATGAGAACAGGAGGTTATTAGTTGGAATGGACCTTATTAACTGAATTACTTCCTCAAATCTAGTCTTTCATAGAAAGAAAATTGGCAGAATGGCTCATGAAACTTCTTAAAATATATGAGTTCCAATTTAGTGCTTTGGCTTTGCAGTGACAACAATGCAACCCACCCCCAACTAATAAAGCAACATGGGCACCACCATTTTAAGCAAGGGACACTTCTAACAATTTTGTTTTGACTATGTACTTTGCTCAGTGAAGCAAAATGCCCCTGTTAAACCTAGTAAATCCTAGTATTTTACAACAGGTTTATTTTGTCAGTTCCAATGACTATTTGGATTGAAGATTGGAACAAAGGCATGTTAAATTATAGAAGTAAAGCACACATTTGCCTTTAAATGATGATGGCATTGATAGGAATGATAGGATGAAGAAGATATTAATGATTAGATTTGAGACATTAGATCCAAGAAAGCTGAAGGAAAGAAATGAGGGCTGCCTTAGTAAGCCTTCCATAGTTTCACTGATGCTGATGACAATGCTGGTGAAAATGATGAAAGGGCTAATGGCAAGGGCCCACCCCAAAGTAACTGTGTTGATATGTATTATAGCTGCAGTCATTCAAGTATTTTAGATATTTAAGAATTACTGCTCTAAATGTTTGCCTAATTTCTAATTTCTACATTTGTCTCCAAGAAGACGAAAAATAGCTCTTTGGAGTGATGCAAGTTAATAGAAATAAAGTCTGCCACAAAAAAAGTTTTATTTACAGATTGCATCAGTTGTAATAAACTTTCAAGGAGAAGACAACAAAGACAATTTTTAGCAAAGCTACAGAGGATTCACCAATTTTAGATAATTTATCCAAGACCTATAATTATTTCTCTGCTTTCCAATCTCTGTGCTGTCAAATATCAAACTTGTTGACAAAAATAAAAGTATATATGTGTGTGTTTGGTTAGACATAAGTGCAACTTTCTGAGTTTATATATTGTATGTATATATATATATATATATATATATATATATATATATATATATACTTAGATTAAAAAACTAGTGACAGATTTCAGTCAGATCAATTCAAGGACACACATTTCAATTTTCATTCAAATCTCACCATTGCTTTCATAGAGGTTTTTAATGTCTGTGGTATTTGTGTTAGTTTAGAGGTCAATTTGTACTTAGTATGTTGACAGTAGTAGTGTTACTTTTTCTACTACTGCCTCACATGGCATGGCAGAAAAAAATTAATTGTCATATTATGGATCATCATTTCATTTTTCACAAGTATCTTCAACCAGGGGATCTACTCTTTGGTGGCCTTGTTTCTCATACCTTCTTTGTCTCCACTCCAAAATTTTTTGATGAACCACCACCTCCAACATACTCTGAAAACTACCTGTAAGGAATTGGGTTTGCATTCTGTATGCTTCTGAGCAGAATGATATGTAGAAGAGCAGCTTGATGGGTATGATTTATTGCAGCAAAGAATGGAGTAGATTATATTGCGGAAATCAAGTACAGATTGCAAATCTATTTTTGCTCCCCTACTTCTACAAGGAAATATTAATTATATAGCTGGTGCTTAAAATATGCTTAATTAAACCCAAATGTTACATACTTAGCTCAGTCAATGTAAAGTTAGGTACTCAAGTAGATAAAAGATCAATAAGGCATGTTTAACTTTCAACTAGGGAATTCAGTTTCATTCATTTGGACCTAGATTCTCTTAATTCAATTTTTTGTTCAAAAGTTAGAATTTTATTCTTTGTCATGATAAATCACAACATGTTTTTCCAAAAAAAGATACATAATTATTCAGTTTTTCTCAACACAGTTTCCTCTTTATATATTTATGACAACTTTTGAATTTTTTCTATGATAAGAATGGAATAAATATATAAGAAACTTAAAACCATCAGATTGTGTGTGTCTCTGTGTGTAAAGTTTAATTTAACTCACAATCAATGATCAGAAAATTCACATGTTTCATGTAAATTTTTTGGCAATTGTGTAGAATGAATCCATCCTTGCCTTCCTCTAATCTATAGGTCTTGGATTCCCTGATAGCAGCCTTTTGTGTTGGTTGGCCAATATTAGCTCCCCACTAATGGAACAGAGGTATATCAACTGATACATTAATAAATTCTAAAATCAATTGTGATGAAAGGGAAAAAGCAGGTATATTAGATAATTATAAATCATGTCCTTAATCTGTCAGTTTTCTTTTATTTTTAAAATACTCTGTTCCAAATATTTACTGATATACTGATTTAACTTGCTTTGGCTCTTCACAGTGAGGTAGTTTTGTTGACTAAATTTTGTACCAAAAATGCTTCTTAAATTATAGCTTACAATTTTGTTGTTGAATTAGTTTGACACATAATGGAAATCCCACTGTAGGGTTATGACTCAGAACTACCAGCATATTCTGGCCTTGATATTTGCCATAAAGGAAATCAATGAAGATCCCTATATCCTACCCAATATCACCCTCGGATTCCATATCTATGATAGCTATATCAATACCAGGTGGGCCTTTCGTTCTGCAATGCAACTTATTTCTCCAAAGAAGCATTTTCTCCCCAATTACCACTGTGGTAGTAAAGACAATCTTCTTACAGTGCTTGAAGGGCTTGGTATTGTATCTTCTCATCATATACCACACATTTTTAGCATCTACAAGATTCCTCAGGTAGGATGTATGTTCAGTTTTAAAGATTATTTTTCTCCTCCTGATGCTTTATATAGTAAGGATAGATGTATTTTTAAATATATAGAACTTATTTGTATGGCAACAGAACTATTTTAAGAAGTGTCAGCTTAAAACATCTTTCATTGTTACTAGTGTAAAGTCATCTCACTTCATAATATTTAAAACTAATTAATATAAATATAAAATTCATTATTTTCTTTTCCACAAAGCCAGTTTGCTTAAGATGAGTGGCCATAAAAATTGATCATGATTTATTTATTCATGATTTACAATTAAATTTATATGCTGCCAACTCACTGTTGGAGTGACTTTGGTTGGCCACTGTTATCAAAAGCTGCAATTTTCCTCAAAAGGACAAATAATTGCCACATTTTTGTTCTGGACAATATTATTTTTCAATATTATTATTATTACTTTACTGAAATGTGATCCCAGAGATACTAATACTAATACTACTCCAAATAATAATAATAATAACAACAAGCAGATATACACATTAATCTTCCTTTGTCATTTCTTCAATTACCATTCTATTTAGGTCTCCTATGGCTCTACTCCAGTGAGGATGGATCAAACCCAATCCCCATATTTCTACCAAATGGTTCCAAATGAAGCCCATCAGTACAGGCTAATTCTTGAATTACTTCTCATTTTTAGGTGGACTTGGATTGGATTTTACACTGCAACTGGAATTAATCCAGAATGGATTTTTCAAGTTATGGTTCCAGAATTTGCCACTCATGGCATTTGCTTTGCTTTTATTGAGACAATCTACAATGTAGGCATGGATATTGAATTTGGGGGTATAAAGAAATGGGCATTTACAATATGGAATAGAATCATTACTAGCACAGCCAATGTATTTCTCCTGTTTGGTGATCTTCGCACTCTTGTGGTTTTTGACTGGTTGCTTTCTATGGAACAAGACAGTGAGATAACAAACAATATAAAGGGTAAAGTGTGGATTTTGACTGCCCAGTTAGAGCTTAAAAACTATGGTAATGAAGAAGAACTGAAAGTTGCTAAGCAGGTCTACCATGGTGCTTTATCCTTGGCTGTCCATTCCAGTGAGCTGCCAGGATTTCAGGAATTTATTCAGGATAGAAACCCTTCCAATG